ATGTCAAATTCTATTACTGTAAAGGGAGCAGGAATTCTAACTGTAGAAAATGAAGACTATTTTAACAATAATGCATGTCAGTCTTAGCCCAGGTGAACACTTCACGAGGCTTTCAGTCGGGCAATAGCTTGCTTAGACATTCATTTATTTTTCACCCATTTGTGTCTTAAATGACAGACAACCGATGATGAATGATGACAACCTCTTACCTTAATTTAAAGTTTGTGCAAAGTAAAATCAGAGATTGGCTTCTTAGCACATTATACATTCAGTAAAGAAGAGCTCCAAACTGACAACTCCCTGAAAACAGCATAAAACTGATAAAAAAAAATATTGCATATCTATAGAGTTAATTAAACAGGATGCCATCCAGATTGCCTGTTTAGTGCATGTAGGCTGATGTAAGAACAATCAGAAACAGGAGAAATTCTTTCCCCAACAAGTTACATTTTATGTACTTTTACTTCAGCGGCATCTTTCTGCGATGTTTTAAACTTTTTTATTACCCAGAGTTGAACTGTTTTAAATCAGACCTTTCTCAAAAATAGTTCAGTATTGTCTTTTGCAATTAAAGAATAAACATGTGTGTACAGCAGTCAGAGAAGCATCATGATGCCTTCTCAATACTTTGATGCATTCTTGTTTTTTCACCCCCAGGTTTAAAAATGCTTCTTTCATTAAGTTTAACCTGAATTCCATTGGTCAGTGCCCGTGATGTAAAGCACAGTTTTTCTTCATAATTTGTGTATTCGGTGGAAGCTTAAAAAGGGATTTCAGGTGACCTAAGTGAATCGCACTTTAATACATCTGGCATGAGCGTGCTCATGCATTACAATGCTTTAAAAACTGGCAGATCCGTGATCGACTGTAATTAAGCGCTCATTATATAACACATCTGTCGTCAAGAAGTTTCTGGGGCTCAGTATAATTCAGAGTGGACAAACAACAATTTCCCTAATGACATCAAGATTTCCATGCATTCTTATCCACACACAAAAGAATCAAACACACACACACACACAAACCCTTTGACTTTCCTAACATATGAACAGCTCATGTAAATAGTCTTTCATTAAAGAGACTGGAATTATTTAAAAGGCAGGATAATGTGCATGTGTTTGCGACTGCATCCATTATAGAAGCCACAAGTCCGTACGCGTGGATGCTTTAATGCAGCTGTGCAAGGTGGATCTTTCGCGTGACCAGAGTATATTGGGCTCGCCATGATATATATTCCCTCAATTTTATTTTTCAGGAAGCGGTACATCAGAGTGTATGCTTCCTCAGCAGCTCATTGTTACCTGAGCAGCACGAGGAAACAACTGCAGTTCCGATTTGATGTGTTTTTATGCCTCTTTTGTTCCTTTCGGTACAAAGCAAAATAGGAAAAAACAGATATCAGCTTGCGAGTTCATGTGTCTATGTTTTCTATGGCTTTATGTGTCTATTTATATGTATCCAAGCAATTTATAGGGATAACGGTAATGTGGTTTGGATTTTTACTGAAAATAATCTGCAACTTGCAAATAAACTGTACAACTGATTAATGTATAAATACTTGTAAATTTGAAATACATTTTTTAGATGGGGGCAATCACAAAACAAGATTGCTGTGCATACAGCAGACAGTTTTGCCTTCATTTATATATATGAAATAGAAATCTGGGCATTATCACATAAAAAAGGTGTATGCAACTCTGTTCAAAGAAAAGCAAAACTATTTTAGATCTGGTCACCTTTTTTTGCTCATTAAAAGTCCTGTTCTGACATTCTGTGATTCAACTCACAGTGAAGTCACTTGGTAGTTAAATTTGATGAATGGGGTGCGTGTAAGATTTCAGTGGTGTGAACTGGCATAAAATGCCACGCTGGCACCAGCCACAGTGGAGGTCAGTTGCACCAAATAATCCCCCCACAGAGATCTCAGGATGTTACAGTAGAAGTCATGTTCCAGTAAACGTCTGCTTGTCGGCCTTCCGCCTTGTCAGATCAGTTACCTTCTGGCTTGGCCACTGATTTTCCATTAAAGTGCTGTTTTGTAGATGGAGATACAGCTCTCATCAGCAGTGATTAATCTGCACGTAAAGCTTCAGTTAGTTTGACACATAAATCTCAAAGTTAAATTTGCAAGTGGACAGAATAGTTAACACACAGAGGAATCTAAAAATAGAAATTGCACTGAAAGCAGTCCAGAGATGCACAAGGAGACAACCTTAAAAGGGAGTAGGGCTGCCATGATTAGTCGACTAGTCACGATTACGTTGCCTATTAAAATTGTCGACGACTAATTTAATAGTCGACGCCTCGTTTGAAGCTTTGTAAGATCCCAAAAGACGCAGGAATAAGTAGTAGGATTTAAGAGTGTAATAACGGACTGAAACAGCTGGCAGCACTGCATGTACAAGGATGCCAGCTGCCGTTAAACCCCGAAGAAGAAGAAGCAGCGTCCGGTATCGTAGCTGTGTCCAAATTCAGGAACCGTGCGGTCCTGCTCAGTTTCCAACAATGGGGCAGCTAGTTAGTTTTCATGTTACTCTTATTATTCTTTCTGGGTCACAAAATAAACGTTTAACATATTTTCAGGTGAGAATGTAGCTGTGTAAACTTCAAATATCTGCTTGGTTTATCAAGACACCACATATTTTCAAAAGCGCTCCGACGTTTTCAGACGTCTGTTACCCACTAGCTCGATAGGTAGCAGGGATTCAAGGCTCAGTAGAGCCGGTGAGAACACCGGACTCCTGGCAAAACGTTTTCAAACCCACCACAGTCTTTCGCTACTCAGGTTAAACATGATATATAAGTCACTTACATAACTTAAAATGTTATTGTTTGGCTTTTTTCAGTATTTTATTTGTTCCTGATTAAATTGGTTTGGCTGAGATTAAAGTTATAGTTTTTACACAGCTGGATAAATGTCAAGCAGACAGCTGATTATCAGAAGTGTGAGATACTCTATACTCCTGTCCTGTTATATTTTAGATAGCAAGGAGCAGACGGCTGAGTTTATTAAACTCCACCGAGACAATCTGCTAATTTCATTACAATTGAATAAACTATCATCTTGTCTTTATTTTTAGTTAGCACATACCTTAAACAGTTAAAGCTGTCAGCTAATGATAGTTATATAAGAGCAGATGCATGCTGGTGCAATAAGCTGTAGGTTTTACATCCAATGGACGCATGATCTGATTAGTCGACTCATGGCAAAAATAATCGGTGACTAGTTGACTATCAAAATAATCATTTGTGGCAGCCCTAAAGGGGAGATTAGCCAAACTTAAATCGGGTAAGGTTCTTGCTCTTTTTCATGACTACAGTAAGGTGATTGTTTTTTAGTGCACCATAGAGCACTTTGGATTTTACTAGATAAACTGCCACTACTTCCTTTCAGTTACATTACAATCCTGGAAAACGTGTTATACAGTAAAATCCTCTCCTAACAGAAAGGTGTATCATGGGAAATTATATTGGAGTTATCACACAAAATGGGAAAAGACCACTGTGACCAAATCACATGCTGCAGTCATGCCATGCTCCTCTTTGCTGCATTGACAGCCAGTTAAAAGATGGCGTGAATGAGATAAATCTATGATGGTGTTAAATCTAGACTGATATTTATCAGTTTGAACTTTAGACTCAGCCCCAAATTTCCGGTGAATGTCTGAGAGCGCTTTAGCTATAGATGCCTCGTACTCTAACCAAGCATCTGTAACTGAATTTATATTTTATCTCAAGCGGTAAAATGAAAGAAAGAAGTCATGAGTGCATTAAGAGTTCTCCTGTGGCTTTTTTGTTGCAAGGGCTTTTATCGGTCTTGTGTTTTTGGTTTGGAGATTTTGGGGAAACTAGCGGTGTCGAGCGGGGTTGGGGAGGTTGTTGTCTCCCTCGGGGGCATGTGGGGGTTTCTCAGAAAATGCTGCCAGTCACGTCTGGCCCTCTGCGGACAGTAAATTATGCTCATTGCCGGAATGCTTCCACACAGCAGCCCAACTCCCTCCGTAGCTGGAAAGGCAATACGCCACATACCCCGGCGGTGGGACCACCCAGGAGGCATATGGGGTCACATACACACACTTCCACAGAAAAACAAATAAGCATGTGCTCAAACAATCACATATACCGCCACAATCAAGGACATGCAGGGCAGATACACATGTATATAAGCCAGTGTGTTTGTCCTCAGGGATATGAGGTGGGATGGTTTGTGGTGCTAGGGGTGAGGGGGCACAGGAATTTCACAACAAGTGGTGGTTTTTGTGGTATTTGGATCCCAGTGAGAGAAACCGCTGAAACTCCCAACTTCCTCTCTGGCAAATATCAAAGGATGCTTGACCTGTGTGTTCAAAGGAGCTGTGGGCATGTCAGGCACTCCAAGAAAATGTCTCAAAAATTGGTAAAAATAATTTAGATGGAAATAATTCACAAGTTATTGTGGTCTGGGCGACATTTTACAAGGAAAACAAAGGTCAAGCGAGAGAGGGAAAAACAACATGAGGCCTAGAATGCACCTAGAGCTCAATAACAAACTGTCAATCACTATTGTTTGTTGGTCAGATACCTCAGCCCACGGGGCAAACTAAACTACAAAAAGATGGAGAGCAATTCTGGGCCGGTTGCCATATGCAACTGTGTTTTGTTTTCCTAAATTATGTTGTTTTCATGAAGTGCAAAGAGGAAATCAATGCAAAGAGAAGCACTGATGTTTCTTAACAGCTGCTTTGAGTGGCCATAGATGTCCTTGGTTTCCGTGACATTATGAGTAACAGTTTACATGACTATCAAAAGCTACAGCTACAAATCTGGGAATGATATTTCAAATCAGAGTCTAACGCTTGAAAATATCCAGCTTTTTTTTGGCCTGACAGATATCAGTAGATATGTAAATAAAGGCGTAGCCACACCAATAATCCAAAATGTTTTTGCGTGCTATTAGGTTCTTACAACTTGGAAACAAACATTTCAACTCTCTGAAAGAGAGCAAGGCAGTGTTTACTTGCCCGCTTCTTTGCCAACAGCTGCGAGATCTGCTCCTACGTAACCGTGAGCGGCGTCTGCCAGCTGCGTCAGCTCCTCCTCGGTGGCGCTGCACGGCACGCATTTCAGCTGCTTCTGCAAAATATCTGCCCGCTCTGCAGCACCAGGAACTCCGACCTGCCGTCACGAAATCAACACAGAACAGCGATTTGTATACCACATTTTTTGTACTCTGTCCACGTACTCAGAGCCTCAGAAGAAAGTTGCGCAATTAAGTAGCAATTCTTCACAAACAGCGTGACGTTGATTGGAAACACACTGCAGTCTCTCTGATAGTATGTACCTCCAGCTCTTTGTCAAAGCGTCCCGGCCTGCGCAGAGCAGGATCAATGGCTTGGGGTCGGTTTGTGGCCCCAAGGACCAGCAGCTGACCTGAGTGACCCTCCTACAAAGAGAAGAAAGTTGGATCAGCTAATTCTGAGATAACAACATAGTAATTTCATAGTAAGACCTGCTCAGCAAATGTTAATTGATGAACTAAAAGTCATTTAAAGCTTGACTCACACAGTTGGTATGTATATTCTGTTGTTCAAGTGATCTGGTTAATTAACACTGTGATGTGTTTGACAATCAATTTTTTGTGTGTTTTTTATATTCTGTATGAGAAGAGATGGCAATTTAAAGCAGCCCTTTTGCATTTCTCATTTTATGTCGTATATAAACTATTACAATTCTGAATGTTCACACCAAACATGACTAAAGTTTCAAATCATAAAGTCAGCCTATGTAAAAATAACCATTATAAACCAAAAAGGCCAGAGTGATCTAAATGCCTCAGTTTCAGAGTATTTTGTTTATTTACTACTGAGATCCAATATCTTTCATTATTGAGACCAGGCCATGATGGCACCCACACTAACAGTAAATCAGATCACATAAACCTGTTGAGATATCTCAGGCAACCAGCTCTAGCTGTGAGCACAGAGACTCCACCCACCTGTTGTTCAAATCTCCCATTGATGCACTCAAACAGAAGAAAGTTACCTTAAAAGGAGCAAGAAGGAAGCTAAAACTGATCCCTTTCATACAGTGGATGAACTCTGGGGCCACAACAAGGTACAGAATAAGAAAAAAAGGTTTTTAAAAAACCTCGAATCATACAGAGCAACTGTAGGAGACTCACAATTTAAAATTATAGCGCATAGAATATAAATCATGCAAATAAAATGTTTCTGTTAAATACATTCACACAAAGGGGTAGTTTTCAATAATGCAGTAAAGTTTCGTTGTTTAATCTGCCCAGGTGCACGGCAGCTTGTGGCACCCACACTCTTAGATTAGGTCAAATTTAGTGGTCATCAGTTCAAGTTTAAGTCCACTTGTCAAACTCAGCCCGCTGGCTTTTAGTATTTCATATGTCGAGGACATTTTTCAAAGCTTGAGAGATTTTCTGACCCCAGCTTGATGCTAAACCTGGCTCACTTCTGCGTTTCCTGGGGTGGTTTGCCTGCAAGATGGGAAAAACTTTTTCCACCTTTTAACACTGGAGACAGAGTTGAAACACAAATAAATTACAGTGCAAGGAAGAATGCCGTGGAGCAGGAAGTGCTTTCTCCACATTCCACAAACCAATCAGCAATGATGACCTTGGTTTGGAAAACAGACAGGAGCTGGGAGCAAGAAGGGAGTTGGTGTATCTGTGCAGTATCACCAATCCACACCGCGGCCTTCTCTGCCTGGGGACGGGAAGATTTAGTTTGCTGATAAAGTTACGGCAAATTGTCAGCTCATGGCAGCCTTGGGTGATTTCTTTCCCAGACTCCCACTGGGGGTGTGTGGGGGAATCATCCTTTTTCTCATCAGGCACTAACACAGAGCTCTGAGGACAAATGGCACCCGAGAGATGCAACCCATAGTGTCTGAAGGGCGTCCAGCACGCAGAGATGGTTTCTGCATGACAATCTGTATTTGCAATGAGGGCATATTAGGATGGAGCCACGTTTGGCTGCGGAAAGACAAAGTATAAAGACATGTGTCTACTGAACAAGCAGTTACTGCTCAGTTTAATCCCAGCCTTCTAGCAATAATCATGCTAATGTAAAACAGACTGTTGTATTCATGTATAAAGAGAAGAAATGTGAGCATCCTTTATGTGCTGCAGGCTGGCAAAATTCAGAGAAGATGACTCAGTGAGGTTCCAAAAAACTCAAACTTAAAAAAAAACCTTAACAGCATATAAGGTTATGCTCAAAAGAGCTGCCTTTAGTTTAATGCGGAAAGCATTATTGCCATAGTAGAGTACAATTACTCGGATACTTACTGAACCAATCCCATCCATCAGAGTCAGAAGAGAGGCAACAACTCGTTTCTCCACCTCATTCTGAGCTCCCTCTCGCTTTGGGCACAAAGCATCCAGCTCGTCAATGAAGATGATCGCAGGCTGCCTATCAAACCAAGTCAAATGTGAGAAGCACATTGATTTACTGAAACATGTGAAAACGTAAATGGAAATACTGCGCAGAGGGCAAAATATTGACTCTTTAGGCAATTTTTTGACATAGAAGTCATTATTTGATGTGTCCATCTTTATTCTTCATCATGGTCAAGCTTTCTCGTATTTTCTTTAATGTGTCTTTAGAAATGGTTCTGCAGGCTACCTGAAGAAACTTCAAAGCTCTTCTTTGGATGTCGCTTCCTTTTTCATCCAATCTGTATCAAGATGATCCCACACTGCTTCAGTGATATTTAGGTGCATATTTAGTCCATGACTGTTCCACTGTGTTTTTTCTATCCAGGTAGGTTTTTACAGCATAGGCAGTGTGTTTGGGATCACTGTCGTATTCAAAAATTAAGCTAATGCTAATCAGAAGCTTCTCAGATGGTGTTGTACAGTGGCTCAAAATCTGACAGTATTTTTCTGTTTTCATAATTCCATCAATTTTGACAGGATCTCCAACATCACTGGCTGAACTGCAGCTCTGAACCATGACAGAATCTGCACCACGTTTTACACATGACCATACTTCTCTCCTAACCTCGTCTCTACACACTGACAATGACTTGAACCAAAACTGTGAAATTTGGATTTATCACTCCATAAGACCTGGTGCCAATCTTGTGCAGTTAGGCACGCTTCGGTCTTCATTTCATGTTTCCCTTCCTCTTTTTAAAACAGACAGGAAGATGGCGACATCATCCCACTGAGACCATTTCTGATGAAGCCTTGCAGACTAGAAGGTGGATCAAATGAAGGATTAGATGTCCTTTGTGAGGCCTTTGCTGGATTTTGCTTTTCATTTTTAACCTATGTCCCAGTATGAACGATAAATATGATAGTTCCACATCAACTGTGAGAGACCTCTGCACGTTTATGAATATAATAATGTAATTTAACATAAAAAAGAGAATTTAGAGATTTGCATACACAGAACTAAAAGTGACATACTATCTTTATGAGTATAGGCAGCTCAGCGAAAACTTACCTCTGAGACGCTTCTGTGAATATTTGTCTCAGTCTTGCTTCTGTTTCACCGTAAAATCTGCAAAGAAATGAGACAACACGCTTCTTTAATTCAGTGAATAAACTTTCCTCATTTAATCTGTGGCTTTGGATCATGTGTAAGGTGGTGAGTAAAATCTTGCTGTAATGGAAACAAAGTAAATTTTCCCCAAAATAATCTGCTGCGATAGAAATATGGTGCCATGAAGTTTTCAGGCTATATGACCATACTTGCTCATGATTTCTGGGCCATTTATCACCGTCATGTGGGCTCCAACTTCACTGGCTATGGCTCGTCCAATCATAGTTTTTCCTGTCCCCGGGGGACCATACAGAAGAACTCCTCTTGGAGGTGGGATCCCTGTGGTAGACAACCGCTTACAATTAGAGATCTGACATTTAATGAGAGTCAGTAAATCTAACTGTAACACCTCACATCATAATGACATCACTGGGGGTTAGTTTACAGCATGGTATAATCTAACATACCATAGTTGGAAAACAGCTCAGGATGTTTCAGTGGAAGTTCGATGGTCTCTTTGATGACATCCAGCTGACTACTGAGTCCACCAATCATGCTATACGTGACCTTTGACCCCTTAGCTTCTGCATCTGGATCTGTTTGGCCTACTCTACTTTTAAATCTAACTTTAGTGGAGCATGACAGGCAGTAGAAGGTGTCAGTACTCAAAGCACCAGCAGGAGGTGCTGATGAGCTTTTCTCTGCCTGCTCTAAGATGAGTGAGCTCTCCGGACTCACAGCAGTGTCTACTGAACCTGCTGAAGGATTCAGGGAGTCGTGGGAAGGAGCTACAGGCTGCGAGGAAAGGGAAAGAGGCTGGGCTTGTCGGCATGGAGTGCTGGCTGCAGGACCGAGCTCTCTAGGTGTGTCTGTTGTTGCATCGTGGTTGTCATCAACAGACAGCATGCTGAGCTGCAGGGAGAGTTCAGCTGATGTGGAGTCCAGCACAGAATTCATCACAGAGGACTCTTCAGTTTCAGGACTCGCTCCCAGGAGAGGAGCTGGTCTCTGGAGGGTGACGCCGTCCTCCCCTTTTATGGTTTCAACCCGAAGGCTGCAAGAGCGGCCAAAATAACTCAAGGAAATGACGTTCCCAGGCAGAACAATGTTCCCAGCTGATATAAGAGAGACAAATACATAGTAGTTATTCTAATAAAGGAAATCATCTGCTTGATTATATTAAATTAAAGTACAAGCCATAGAATCTAAAGTGCATGGATATTTTATTTTATTTTACTGTACAGCAGAGAGAGAAAAGAAGCTTGTGCATTTTCTGCAAAATATTAATAGCTTATAGTATAGTAGCTTATCTGCCATAACACATAATACTCTTTTTAGTGTATATACTATACAGTAAAAAGACAGAAAAATGCAAAGTCAGGTGTGTAAGAAGTACACACTTTCTACTGAAAGGTCTCAAATATTTCAGATACAAGATGAGGTGATGAAGATGAGGCAAAAGGACATACCCAGAGATCTCAGGAAGAAATCCTTGAATTCATCTGTTTCTAGTGTTTCATCTTTTGACCTGAAAAAAAGTTTCAGGTGGTTGATAACTAACTGGAAACATTTTTCTCTCAACTTCTCAGTGATTATTGACATTTGAACTGCAGTTGCATCTTGTTTCCAACAGATGGCGGCCTCTGCCTTCTGCTGGAAAGAAGGCCGAGGCTTCT